GGTAAACGTGAGACAAATCATAGTTTGACTGGTAAACGTGAGACAAAAACCACACATTGACTGGTGAACGTGAGACAAATCACAGTTTAACTGGTAAATGTGAGACAAAAACCACACATTGACTGGTGAACGTGAGACAAATCACAGTTTAACTGGTAAACGTGAGACAAAAATCACACATTGACTGGTGAACGTGAGACAAACCACACATCGACTGGTGAACGTGAGACAAATCATAGTTTGACTGGTAAACGTGAGACAAAAACCACACATTGACTGGTAAACGTGAGACAAACCACACATTGACTGGTAAATGTGAGACAAACCACACATTGACTGGTAAATGTGAGACAAACCACACATTGACTGGTAAATGTGAGACAAACCACACATTGACTGGTGAACGTGAGACAAATCACAGTTTAACTGGTAAACGTGAGACAAATCACACATTGACTGGTAAATGTGAGACAAATCATAGTTTAACTGGTAAACGTGAGACAAACCACGCATTGACTGGTGAACGTGAGACAAATCACAGTTTAACTGGTAAACCTGTAACAAAAATCACACATTGACTGGTGAACGTGAGACAAAAATCACACATTGACTGATAAACCTGAAACAAAAATCACAGTTTAACTGGTAAACGTGAGACAAAAATCACAGTTTAACTGGTAAACGTGAAACAAATCACACATTGACTGGTAAACCTGAAACAAATCATAGTTTAACTGGTAAACGTGAAACAAATCACAGTTTAACTAGTAAACATGAAAACAAAAATCACAGTTCAACTGGTAAACGTGAGACAAAAATCACAGTTTAACTGGTAAACCTGAAACAAAAATCACAGTTTAACTGGTAAACGTGAAACAAAAATCACAGTTTAACTGGTAAACATGAGACAAAAATCACAGTTTAACTGGTAAACATGAGACAAAAATCACACATTGACTGGCAAACCTGAAACAAATCACAGTTTAAGTGATAAACCTGAGACAAAAATCACAGTTTAACTGGTAAACATGAGACAAAAATCACATATTGACTGTAAACCTGAAACAAATCACAATTTAAGTGATAAACCTGAAACAAAAATCATACATTGACTGGTAAACCTGAAACAAATCACACATTGACTGGTAAACCTGAAACAAAAATCACAGTTCAACTGGTAAACGTGAGACAAAAATCACAGTTTAACTGGTAAACCTGAAACAAACCACAAATTAACTGGTAAACCTGAAACAAACCACACATTAACTGGTAAACGTGAAGCAAATCACAGTTTAACTGGTAAACTTGAAACAAATCACACATTAACTGATAAACGTGAGACAAAAATCACAGTTTAACTGATAAACATGAAATAAATTACAATTTAAGTGACAAACCTGAAAAAAAAAAATCACAATTTAACTGATAAACCTGAAACAGCCACAGTTTAACTGATAAACCTGAAAAAAAAAAATGACAATTTTATCTGGAAAACCTGAAACAGTCACAGTTTTAGCTGATAAACCTGAAAAAAATCCCATTTTAAGTCAGAAAATTCTGGAAAAAAAAAAAATCCCATTTTTATCTAGAAAAATCTGAAAAAAAAAACCTCCCATTTCTTAGCTGATAAATGTGAAAAAAAATCTTACTTTTGTATGATACATCTGAAAAAACTTTGTTGGGGTTTTGTAATGAAAATCCCACTGATTTTTGGGTTTTTTTAATGAAAACCCCACTGATTTTTGGGATTTTTTTATGAAAACCCCACTGATTTTTGGGATTTTTTAATAAAAACCTCACTGATTTTTTGGGGGGTTTCTTTAGTGTAAAACCCCGCTGATTTTTGTTTTTTTTTTAATGAAAACCCCGCTGATTTTTGGGTTCTCCAGCAGAAACCCCTCTGTGCTTTCTGGGATCTGTAGGAAATTCCATTCCTTTTGAGTTTTTCTCATTAAATCCATCAAAGGCTTTGGGATTTTGGGGATTTTGGGGGTTTTTGGGTTTCTCTGTGGCACTAAAAGGGATTTTTTGCCCTCCCCAGCCCCGTGTACGAGATGCTGAAGAGGAACCTGACCCCTGCTGCCCTCCCAGGTAGGTTGGTCCCATTCCATAAATGTTGTTCTGAACCTGGTAAGTACCAAAAAATAAAAATCAAAAAATAAAAAAAAATCCAGGAAAATCCCAAATCCTGGCGCTGTAAGAAGAAAAAAACTTCTCTCAAAAACTTTCTTTTGGAGTTTGTGTCTTTTCTGTGTGCCAGGAGCTGTTTGAGTGATGCTAAAAATCCCAAATTTGGGGCAAAGCCAAACCCTAAAATCCCATCCTTGACTTGAATCGATTTTTTCTTCATTTTTGGATTTTTTTTTTTCAGTTTCAGAGCTGTGATTTTTTTTTCCTCTCACCTCGTTTTGTGTTTTGATCTTCTCAAAAAATGCTAAAAAATTCTGCAAGGTTTGAACCTTGAACCTTCAGCTTCCACATCTGTGGGGTTTTGTGCCACATTTCCTGTTTTTTTTAACACATAAAATGGATTTAATCCCCAGCTGGGGACTTTTGTGCCACATTTCCCATTTTTTTAAACACATAAAATGGATTTAATCCATACCTGGGGACTTTGGTGCCACATTTCCTATTTTTTAAAACAGATTTAAATGGATTTAATCCCCAACTGTGATTTTGTGCCACATTTCTTATTTTTCAAAGCAGATCTAAATGCATTTAATTCACACCTGGGGACTTCGGTGCCACATTTCCCATTTTTAAACAGATTAAAATGAATTTCATCCACAGCTGTGGGTTTTGTGCCACATTTCCAGTTTTTTAAAACACATAAAATGGATTTAATCCCCAGCTGGGGATTTTGTGCCACATTTCCCATTTTTAAAACAGATTAAAATGGATTTAATCCACACCGGGGGACTTTGGTGCCACATTTCCCATTTTTAAAACACAAAAATGGATTTAAACCTTTAGGAGGGCTCAGACACGTGTGGAAAAATTCAAAATTAAAATAAAAAAAAATCCACTTAAAATCACAAATTAAACAAAAATTAAAACCGTGGCCGTTTTCCACCATGGATTTTTTTACAGAAAATCCATTTTTTTAATTTGGATTTATTTTCTAGAAGCCTCTTTTGAATCCCTTTGGGCTCTTTGGCTGCAGGAGGATGCTGTGAGTGCCTGGCTCTGTGTGAGTGGGACCCAGACCAGCCCAGCTTGGCAGAACAGAGCTGGCCGTGCACAGCCAGGGAGGCTCAGGCTCTTTTCCCTCATTCCCTACCCCTTTTCCTTAATTTCCACCTCTTTTCCTTCCATTTCTCCCCCTTTTCCTTCCTTTCCCACCCCTTTTCCTTAATTTCCACCTCTTTTCCTTACATTTCTCCCCCTTTTCCTTCCTTTCCCACCCCTTTTCCTTAATTTCCACCTCTTAAATTTCTCCCCCTTTTCCTTCCTTTTCCCACACCTTTTCCATCCCTTTCCCCCCTCATTTTCCTTCTTTTTTCTACCCACTTTCCTCTCCTGGCTCTTTTCCTTCCTTTCCCACCCCTTTTCCTTAATTTCCACCTCTTTTCCTTAAATTTCTCCCCCTTTCTTTTCCCACATCTTTTCCATCCTTTTTCCCCCATTTTCCTTCTTTTTTCCACCCACTTTCCTGGCTCTTTTCCTTCCTTTCCCACTCCTTTTCC